AATTTTTTTAGTGAGAAGGATGAACCTGATGCTTTAATAATAAATTATCAACATTTGGCGTCAATTTTGTAAGGGTTCATCTTAAATCTCCTCGGCTAATGATGTCCAGTCTGTCTCTTTTTTTCGTTAGGAGATTGGTAACAGCGCTGAACCCCCTTTCCACAAGGTATGACGTTGGAAAGGAAATTAAAAGTTTTCACGCTATATTCCATAATACGGAATAAGTAACGGGTATGTTGTTTTGCAGCCAGAATTGCTGATATCCGTTTTTAAACTGAACCTTAAGTTCATTTTGAACGACTCGTTCGCGAACGACAGATGACTAGTAGCTACTGGAACTTGGTTAGTCTTAGGTGTAACCTACACGTTCATGGCCAAACCTGCTTTAGCCGATTGCATTCGGTGAAAGCTAGGTCCAACTAACTTAGTGGTTAAAACTAGATGTAAGCGTCACAAACAGGTTCTGACAGGTAGCGCGGTAGCGGCCCGTCGACTCACGTTAGGCTTCTTTCACAATGGAAGCGTGAACGCGCGAATGTTTGTTCGGACCAACACACGCACACGCACGTATGATACGACGGCGTTGTTTTCAATACAAGCTCGCACAGTAGTTGCGTTTTGATTTGCGCGTACCCGTACGTTTAGATGCGACGTGCGAACAGATCCCGTCCTGTTTGGATTTGTACGTCTCTGCGCAGTTATTTATTGCTGAAAAAACGGACATTGAAAGGATTGATCTAGTGAGAGACCGAAAATATCTATGGGAACAACGAGAAACCAACTACCATCATCTTGATATTCAATGGTTGTGGCAAGAAGAAATGAAATAAGCAGGTGGGTGATTTTTAACAATATAAATGTAATTTTCAATAATTTTATTAATAGTAGTACTAATAATAAAACATTAGTTATTATTAACGAAATATCTCTGTCACGAATTGTAAAAGCTGTTCCCCATGTTCTGTTTTCACCCAGTGCTGCAAATCTTCTATTGTTTTCATACATCAGCTGCTCTGGTTCTAGGTTTATTTCAGTGATGCCTTATTTATCAATAATTAAGTTATGAAGTAAACAAATACTTTTAGCGACAAAATCAGCCCACTCTGGGGCAACTTCAATAGCTTTTCATAAAATTCTCCACTTACTTGCCATAGTTTCAAATGCGCATTCTACAACTTGTCTTGTTCTTGATAGTCGCTGATTCAATTTCTCTTCTTCGGGTCCTCAACTTCTTTGCGGATAAGGACGCATGAAATATTTTTCTAAGGGATATGCTTCCTCTCCTTGAACATGAGGTAAGGAGATATCTGTTAGGGGTAAAACTGTTTCTATTAATTAATTCCCGACTTTCAAGCTGCCTGGATAAATTTGAATTGATAAAGATCCCACCATCGCTTTCCTTACGGTAAGCACCCACGTCTATAGAAATTAATTTATAGTCCGGGCCAGCTAAAGCTTGTAAGACAATAGAACTACAATTGTAATTGCGAAACATGCTACCACCATGAGCAGGATTTTTTATTCTTATGTTCTTGCCATCTATGCACCCTACGCAATTTGGAAACTTCCATCTTCCCTAAAATTCTTCACATATTTCTGTAATGTCCTCGTTATATGGAAAAGCCATATGCTTTTCCTGATGTTTCATTGCGAAATCCAGGTACTATTTTTCCAGCTGTGTTGTCCTCAGTCATAAATGAAAATCCCAATTGCTTGAATGATGAACGATGAACCAATAGCCAGATACCTAAAATAGAAAGGTTTTCTTTTTCAGTGGATGAACTTAGAAAAAGGTACGTCTCCACACATTCCGAGAAGAATATAAAGAGTGTTCATAGACGAGATCTGGTGATGGTGCAGATACAGTATGTGGAAACAAGTGTGATGAATCTTCAAACTAGAAATACATTCTTGATGCGCCACTGGTACTACCGTGTAGCCAAGGGACAAGGAATGCGGGCGGTGGTGTCGGACGAGAGAGGCGCGGGGAGAGGAGAACGCAAAAAAAGGAGAAGAGCCTGGTTTTTACGACCGATGTGCGAGGTATTTTTGGACAGAATATTTTGGAAAGGAAAATAGAGTACATGATTATTGATCCCGGACGTTTTATTTTTGACAAATCAGAAGTGGAATTATTCACGTGCCGTACAAGTTCTACAAGTGAGTGATTCAAAATGGGGAAGACGAAAAGGCGTAGTTCTTCTAGTTCATCCTCTAGCTCCCAGTCCAGTTCAAGTTCTTCGACGGACGATGGAAGGAGACATCGTAGGCGAGTAAAACGTTTACGAAAAGAACTCAAATTCAAAAACAAGTTGTTAGAGAAGCAACCTGTAAGTACTGCATACAGTAGTTTAAATATCGATGAATCGCTAATACCTGAGTTTAACCCCTCAAATAGACAATGTATAGACTGGGTCAACAAGGTTGATCAGTTGCGTGAGTTATACCAGTGGGATGACCAATTGACAATTAAATTAGCAACAAGCAGACTTCGTGGAAATGCTCGGAAATGGTATGATTCGTTAAACAATCACTGTACTCGATGGTGTAATATGAAAGTGATGCTTTTAGAAATATTCCCTTCGACTAGGAACTTTGGAAAATTGTTTAAGGAGGCAGCAAATTATGTGCATTTACCTAATCAAAAATTCAGTGATTATTGTTTTGAAAAATATGCAAAAATTACAAAATTAAATTTGCATATTAATGATGTAGATATTATAGATTGTATAATTGAAGGGATAAACAATGAAAATGTAAAGCTAGCAGCTAGAGCTGCGAATTTTCAATCGGTAGGTACGTTGGCTAACTATTTAGATAGTATTATAGATATAAATAGGCAAAAACATATTGCTGCTAAACCGACTCCAGGCACGTCAAAAGTTAATCAAGAGGTGATAAAATTGGAAGGAAAGGATGGCAGTAAACGCAGAGTACTATCGTGTTATAATTGCAATGGTCCACATATTGTAAAAAATTGTCCTAAGCCTATAATAACGTGTAAAAATTGTAAAAGGGTTGGCCATTATTCAGAGCAGTGTAGACTGAGCAAGAAAAATGAATGTAATCAGATTGCGAAGTCTGTAATTATGAACAGAAAGAATAATATGTCTTTAGTTACTGCTTATATAAACCAAAGTCCAGTTGAAAATTGTTTAATTGACACAGGTAGTTCTTGCACAATAATTAAAGAGTCTTTAGCAAAACGTTTAAAGATGCGGCTAACTAGAACAAAGGAGTGTGTAGGACTACGATGTTTTATGGGTAACATGATATCTTGCTACACAATCAGCAAAATCACTGTAAATATCGACAAATCAACCGGCGAAGTAAATGCGTTCGTTTTGGCGGATAAATACTTAACTTATGATGTGATTATTGGTTGCGATTATTTAAATCAGCCACATGTTGTCATGCATAAAGCCGGCGACACCTTGCGTTTTAAAAATGTTTCTACCGTGAGCGATATACAGGGTACTACGAAAATAATTGAGTATGATAAAATAAATTTTGGTAATATTTCTCAGGGAGAAAAGGACAACGTTTATAGTCTTTTAAAAGAGTATAGCGACACGATCGCATTTACTTTAAAGGATTTAGGAAAAACCAATTTAGTAGAAATGAGTATTAAATGTAAAACGGAGGAACCAGTCATTTATAACCCATATCGCATGTCAATTCAAGAAAAAAATATTTTAAATGATTTGTTGCAAGAGTTACTCATTAATGGTATCGTACGTGAATCTAGCTCTCAGTATGCTAGTCCAGTACTACTTGTTAAAAAGAAAACAGCTGACTATCGGATGTGTATAGACTTTAGACGCTTAAACATGATTACTATCAAAGAGAAATTCCCATTACCATTGATTGAAGATCAAATTGACATGCTGGGGGTCATAAATATTTTATTACGCTTGATCTTGCGTCTGGGTATTATCAAATACCGATGGCTGCTAACTCTATCGATAAAACGGCATTCATTACGCCGACCGGCCACTATGAATTTCTGCGAATGCCGTTCGGCTTGGTGAATGCTCCGGCCATTTTTCAAAAATTAATTAACAATGTTTTTAAAGGTCATTTGAACAAAATTGTTCACGCATATTTAGATGATTTGATAATACCGGGACGTGATTTTAAAGAGGCATTAAACAGATTAAAAATTGTACTAAATGTATTGAGACAAGCCAATTTGACGTTGAAGTTAAGCAAATGTAACTTCTTCTATAGTAGCATTAATTATTTGGGTCAGGAAATTAGTGAGACTGGAGTAAAACCAGGATTAGAAAAGACTAAGGCAGTAATGTGTATGAAATCACCGACAAACGTCAAGGAGGTTCGACAATTTCTTGGTTTGTCCGGATATTTTCGCAAGTACGTGAGAGACTATGCTCGAGAAGTAGAACCTCTCACTCGATTATTAAAAAAGGATGCCCCGTTCGAGTGGACCTCCTCACAAGAGACTGCTTTTACGAAAATAAAATCAATGCTAGCTACCAGACCAATTCTTTCTATTTATAACCCTGAGCTTAGAACAGAACTTCATACGGATGCAAGCTGTACTGGGTTTGGAGGAATTCTTATACAACTCAAAGATAATGAAAAATATGTGATAGCTTACTTCAGCAAGCAGACCACCCTAGAGCAGCGACGCTACCACTCTTATGAGCTCGAGACTTTAGCAGTAGTGTTAGCGTTACAACGGTTCAGAGTTTATCTGCTTGGAATAAAATTCACGATAGTTACCGACTGTAGCGCATTGAGGACAGCTTTCAGTAAGAGAGATTTGATTCCGAGAGTAGGGAGATGGTGGCTTCAAGTTCAGGACTACGATTTCGACATCATACATAGGCATGGAACCCAAATGGGGCATGTGGATGCCCTTAGCAGAAATCCTGTCAAGGAATATTTGGATGTCAGAGTTATCGACGTCACTGAAGGCAACTGGATTATAGCAGCACAGCTACAAGATGAGCAAACCAGTCGAATAATGAAAATTCTTAAAGACGAACCAAAGGAGAAAAGTATGAAACAATATTTCGAATTGTATAAAATTAAAGAGGGTAAACTATATCGAAAATTAGGGGACAAAATAGCTTGGGTGGTACCCAAATCATGTAGATGGCAAATTTGTCGGTTATGTCATGACGAGAATGGTCATTTTGGATTGAAAAAAACGCTTAAAAAAATACAGGAGAGTTATTGGTTCGCTGGTATGAGACGTTTTGTGAAGAAATACGTTGGAGCGTGTTTAAATTGTCTCTACTATAAACAGCCAAGTAGAAAGAAACAAGGATATCTTCATCCGATAGAAAAGGTTCCCATACCGTTTCACACTATCCACATCGATCATCTTGGACCATTTGAAAAGAGTATCAAAGGGAATAAATATATTTTTGTTATTGTTGACGGATTTACAAAGTTTTGTTTCATTGAACCCGTAAAGGACACTAGTTCTAAGTTAGTTGTTAAGGCCTTACTTACTATAATGTATATTTTCAGCACTCCGAATCGTATAATCTCGGATAGGGGCACTGCGTTTACGTCGGTTAGTTTTAGTAATTTTTGTAAAGACTATGGTGTTCGACATATTTTAAATGCTGTCTCCACGCCGCGGGCTAATGGACAATGTGAACGCTACAACAGCACAATTCTCAATTCTTTGAGAGCTGCATCGGCAGGCGTTGCTGAAAACAAATGGGATACGTTTGTCAAACCGGTGCAATATGCGATGAACACAACTTTTAATACTGCAACTGGAATGACTGCAATGGAGTTATTGGCTGGATTCAAGGGACATAGCCTATCCGAAGGCAATGTTTTGAGTGCAGTGAAACGAGAGCTAGAGCGGGGTGACTTGAAGGCACTTAGGAAATCTGTTGAACACAGATTGTCTGTAGAGCAGAAAAAGCAGAAAGAGAGGTTTGACAAGGCTAGGATACAAGCTAAAAAGTATCTAGTGGATGATGTCGTCATGGTGTTGAAGACGGATGCACCGTGTACTGGTGCCAGCAGAAAATTGGTGCCGAAATATAAGGGACCTTTTAAAGTGACGAAGGTTCTCTATAACGATCGATACGAGGTTGTTGACCTGAGAGAAAACTACAAGAGATATAAGACTGTAGTTGCTGCAGATAAGATGAAACCATGGATCTTACTACGTGGTAGGTATAAAATGTTATATTGCTTAATGAGGGTCCAAATATTAAAGTTTATCTGCTTTAATATCTGTTGGAACGAGGAGAAAAATTAATGATGTTTTGTTGTCTGTTGAGATAAGTAGGCTCAAACAACAAAAGCAGTTTATGATGTTTTGGTTGTCTGTTGAGATAAGTAGGCTCAAACAACAAAAGCAGTTTATGATGTTTTGGTTGTCTGTTGAGATAAGTAGGCTCAAACAACAAAAGCAGTTTATGATATTTTGGTTGTCTGTTGAGATAAGTAGGCTCAAACAACAAAAGCAGTTTATGATGTTTTGGTTGTCTGTTGAGATAAGTAGGCTCAAACAACAAAAGCAGTTTATGATATTTTGGTTGTCTGTTGAGATAAGTAGGCTCAAACAACAAAAGCAGTTTACGATGTTTTGGTTGTCTGTTGAGATAAGTAGGCTCAAACAACAAAAGCAGTTTATGATATTTTGGTTGTCTGTTGAGATAAGTAGGCTCAAACAACAAAAGCAGTTTATGATATTTTGGTTGTCTGTTGAGATAAGTAGGCTCAAACAACAAAAGCAGTTTATGATATTTTGTTGTCTGTTAAGATAGAGTAAGCTCAAACAACAACATAATTTGATGAAGGAAGGCTCATACAACAGAATTACTTAGGGACGTTTTGTTGTCCGTTAAATTAATATAATTAGAGTTTTAACTATACTTTGTTATAAATTAATAAAAGAGAGTATGAATTGTAAGTCAAAATGCCAATCAAGGATAAATTGAAAAACAGCTAAAGTTAGGCTCAAGTGAAAGCTCAAACATAACATTGTAAAATTAATACGTTTCAGTGTCTGTTGGGATGGTTGATTAATTCGAATAACCATTCAAAGTTCAGCACGCTAAGCCTTACTGTATTGCAACTTAGCATCAACATCATAAATCAGATTGATTGTTTATTTATAGATGCTGATTTTTCTGGGTCTGAGGACAGACACAGCAGCAGGATGGCCGAATGTGATGAATCTTCAAACTAGAAATACATTCTTGATGCGCCACTGGTACTACCGTGTAGCCAAGGGACAAGGAATGCGGGCGGTGGTGTCGGACGAGAGAGGCGCGGGGAGAGGAGAACGCAAAAAAAGGAGAAGAGCCTGGTTTTTACGACCGATGTGCGAGGTATTTTTGGACAGAATATTTTGGAAAGGAAAATAGAGTACATGATTATTGATCCCGGACGTTTTATTTTTGACACAAGTGGCCTTATTTTAACATAATGCCATTTTTAAAAGATATTGTGACACCTAGAATGCGAACAGGCAATGTTCCCGATATCAGTCCTGATTTAATCAGTCCTGAATCCGAAACCCAAAATGAGTTGCATAATATGGCAAATTCTCCGGACAGTACTGATTTACCAACAGAAGGAAACTAAAGTGGCAGAACATCATTTACGAACAAAAAATCAGAACGTATCCAAAAAATTACTGGAAACTGTGAAAGAAACAAATATGAAAAAGCGCAAACTTCAAACATTGACGAAAATTGTTGAAAGAAATTCAGTTGATGATGGCTATCAGTTTTTAATGAGCCTTTTGCCATTTTTAAAACGCATACCTCCATCAAAGAAACTAATTGTGAGATCAACAGGTATTAATTGATGATCGATTAGCAACACAATCCTAGTGTCAGGATTATGTCTTCGGCACTAATTCAACTTCAATTGAAAGTACTCCAGTTCGGAAAGATTTGCAAAGACGTTCTGGATCCCAGTTTTCTTTGCCAACCTTTTTTTCAAACTTACGATCTGGGCTGCTATATAAATTTTTGGTATGCATATATTATATATTAGTTTTGTTATTTTGTGTTTTAATAATTTATTTTTTGTTATTATGAAGTATGTTAACTTACAATAAGGCTAATGCTAACCGTTCCGTAGGACAGATAGTGTTTCGAAAATTACAATATTTGGAAAATGTCCTTTACCGCTTCATAGTTAAATGTATCTTTTGCTTCCTTTTAACGCAGTCAGTGTGCGAAGAATTGACGCACGTATATGCAAGATTGAATTTCGGAAGTATTCGCGCGTTTTTGTATTCGCGCTTTCACGCTTTCACTGTGAGAGAAGCCTTAATTCGCTGTGGGTGGCAGCCGGTAGGTGCTCTTCTTAGTATCAATCGTAACACCATATTAGATAGATGTATGTAGGCGTACGTATATTTGAAGTATCAAGTTCAAGCTCGCATTGTGATTTAAAATGGCATTGTTCGAAGAATCAGAATCTACGAAATCGTGTTTTTACGGAGAGCTTGAGCTCATATTGACTTCGAAACAAGGCGATAATCGTTACATCAGTAAGTAGATGTCAAAGCTGCAAAAAAAGCCACGAAGCGTTGGACTTTACAATATCGCAGCTTGAAGCGTTTAGATGTGTGTTGCATTGGTGACGTCGAGAAGCTAATTGCTTCTTTATGCAATGGCGAAAATACCGAGGACCTCGAATATACACTACGTCAAGAATGAAGATATGTTCGATGTTCTTCATGAAATACACGTGAGCATTGGACACGGCGGGGAAATAGGATGATTGTAAAAGCTAAAAACAAGTACGCAAACATCACTCAGGAGGCTGTTCTTATTTATCTTGTCGTGAAACCCATTTTATCTAATGAGCTGAATAGCCGTTGCCAGACAGATTTAATCGACATTCAAACAAACCCAGACGGCAATTTCAAATTCATATTAGTTTACCAGGATCACCTGATGAAGTTTGTACAGCTACGGCCTTTACAAAAACACTGCTGAGGAAGTATATCAAAGGTACTGTTGGATATATTTTGCATATTCGGATCACCATCTACCATATATTGAAATCTGATGATGGTCGGGAGTTTGTTAAGGGAGGTGAAAAGTGTGACTTGTGCAAAAAGAAACAGAAAATAGATAATAGCAGGAAAGGTGCGGCAGTATTACAGGCTAATAAAATGACAGCTTCGTCAAATGTCAAGTTTTCTCCTTGCAAGGTATCATAATTCCTGACGTTGATAGAGGTAGAGGACACTTCCTAGATGTTTTAATGGTGATACTTGAATGTACTGAGGATGGTTTATATAAGTTGGGCAACCAGTTTGGCACAGTACCATATCTTTTACTATGAATCAATTCAGCATGTGCGAATCAAAATTTTTAGACCTTGAACATGTAGCCGATGCCCAATCTTCATCTGATAGACTGTAAGACCAAGTGTGGAAGTAAGTGTCTTTGTAAAGCTGCTGGTATTTTGTGTAACTCTGATTTTCATTCAAGTTTAAGCTGTTCAAATAAATAGATAACCCATAGTCCCAGTTTGTTTCATATGATTGGATATGTCAACCATCTACTTTTTTTATTACTTAAATTAACTTATAACTCAAATTAATGTTGTAATTATGTGTCAATTAAATTGTTATACTCGCACGAAATTTAAAAATTGCAAAGTTCAGTTACAGTTAACGAAGAAAATGTTTAAATTGTTAGATTGTTTATACCGACATGAAGTATTTTAAATTGTAAAGTTCAGCTACAGTTATGACAAATAATTGTGTTCAAACTATTATACGGTTATACTCGCATGAAATATTTTAAAATTGTAAAGTTCAGTTACAGTTACGACAAAAAATTATGCTTGAGCTGTTAGACGGTTATACCCGCATGAAATATTTTAAAATTGTAAAGCTCAGTTACAGTTGCAGATAAAAATTGTGTTTTTAATTGTTATAACCACATCAAATACTTAGAAATTCCAAAGTTCAGTTACAAATATAAAAGCATACGTTTAAATTGCAAAGTTCAAATACAGCTATGAAAAAAATGTTGTTACTAGAATAAGATTTTTTTATTATTGCGGTTACTTACCTGTGATGACCATCCCAAGGTATGGCAAGTTATGCTTAAGAAATTTATTGCTGAAATAAATGATATGAAATGAAATGAAAATATTTTCTTTAAAAATACCCGTCTAAACCTGCTGGTAATGCTTACACCTAAATCAAATTCAAGGGGATAACCAAATGGAAATGGTATTTACCATTTTGGGTTGGTATTTACCGATCCGTTCAAGCGAGTGAAGTTATCAGTTTGGTTATAAGATCCGTGACGTCACGAATCAGCTGTTATATGTCATAGTTATCACCGCAAAATTGTGGTATTTACCCAACTCAAAAGTAGTTTTATATTTCTGGTTATTATTTGAAATGTGATAAGTTAGAATTTTGCCGGGTATTGGATATTGTTATTGTACTTCAGCTTCATTTTTGAGAAAAATGATACAGGCTGACTTCAGTTTTACCATAAAGTGGAACACCTTATTAGTTATACTCATTACGGTTGTTGGGGACACTTTAAATATAGTTCCTATGCTTAACAAAGTATCCTGTGTAGCCATATACCACAAGAATATTAAAATATGGCCATATAAACTCACTAGATGATATCCACCTGTATACGGTTTTGCTAATTTCTTTTTTCATCATTTCTGCTGAATCAATAAATGTTTTCTTTGACATGCGGAAAAATTTAGAGAATTGAAAGTTATCATAGCTACAAAGCCATAGTTCCATCAATAAAAAAAAATCTGAAAAAACATTTCTCCCATGAATATTATGAAAGGTTTCTTATTTAAACTTTCCATATACAGCTGTAGACGAAAAAGCACCGATTATTAAGTGATAATAAAAATAAACAGAAATTATATACGCGCTTTTCTAAAATAAACAACTTGCAACAAACCGCGGTTAAAACCAACGCGTTCAAGCGATTCGAGTAACTGACGTCACCATCCCGTGTGTCATCTTGAACCATATTATAACCGCGGTACATAATACGGAAATTTTGGTTATCCGCTTGGATTTGATTCTAGTTTTAACTGCTAATGATTGGCTAGACCTAGGTGTAGCCGGTATCAAGTTGGTTGGAGCTAGCTTTAACCGAACGTAACCGGCTAATACTAGGTTTGGCAATGAATGTATAGGTTACACCTAAGACTAACCGACTGCCAGCGGCTACACTTAGTTCTAACCGGCGAAATCTAGTTGTCACCGCATTTCGGGTTTTAGCTGTAACATATGCACATAAACATAAATTTTGTTTGTTATGTATGTTGTGATTCTAGATATTTCAATCAAAATATCATATTCATTCAGGGTCAGCTTGTTTGAATCAAACCAGTTTTTGGTAGTCAGCTGTGAGAGATGTAGTATCATCAACAAATAGTATGTAGTTTTCATCTTTATGGTTCGGCAAATCATTGAATCAAAATCGACCCAAGTACTGAATCTTGGGGAGAAACTCCATCTCTATTTACACTGCGTTCCGTCGTAATTTTTGTTTTACTTTAAAGTCGCTTTTTGACCCCCATGTTATATGAAACTTTTTGCTTCTTTTAACCTCATCTATCACCCATTTAAATAATGACTATCATAACGTATATTTCAGTTGATGCCTTACTTCCGATTTTTACTAATTGTTTTGTATTGCCTAAATATGAATCGATTAGGTTGCAAGAAGCTGTTCCGAAGTTATACATTCTGAGCTTTCTTCTTGCTATCAAAACGAAATACATTTTCGTGAGCCTTATAACTTGGGAACCCACATTTTTTTCTCGCCAATGTAGATCCCCGTTGAGATGCCCGTGGACTACATTGTGAATCACTGTCTTCATGAATCAAATCCGATGAACCAAACTAAGTTAAATATAAGGAAATTAAGGGCGGACTGCAAACGCGTTATTTGGGCAGTGCGGCAGCGATCACCAATTAAATGCGGAGAGTGAGAAGCCGCTTGGGTAAATTGATTATGCAATTTTCCAGTCGGATATTCGACAATGTCCAGAAGCACTGTCGTATAGACTCAAATGCCGCCATCAGGCGGTCAGAATATTGATGGCTGTGAAATCAGAGACCCGCCGCAAATTTGTCAGGAGGGGGCTGCTAAAGTTTTGAGGCAGGAGCGCCGAAGCCGTCTGTGTATTGTTACATTTGAGCTACACTGTGAATTGTAAAAGTGTTCTAACAAGGAAGCCATCTCAGTCAAGCCCCAAAGTTGGAACAGAAAGATAGTAGTTTTAGGGCCAATTTCACCAACAACAGTCCGTTATTCTCAATAGGGTAACTGACCGTCAGATACAGCGAATGAGCTTCAAGTTCCAATCAACAAATTTTAGCAACCAATAGCTATGAAATGTTGAAAACAAAATACTTTTAAAGTATGAGATGACAACTTGTCATTGAAACATCGCCAGCTTATGGAATATTAAGAAATTACATATAATTCAGTCATAATTTAAAGAAATGTTTGATTTTTGAATTAAGTTCATGTTTTAACTACTGTTGTTGATTTTTTATTCATGTTTATATAATTTTATTCAATTGATATGCTATCTTACTGATTCAACATAGATACCGTGTGTTCTTTTCCTATATACCTCTTGCAGATGGCCATTAAGCACCTACCTGATGACAGGCTCTACCAAAAAGTTCATAGATATTGCTCGTTTACCAAACATTCATTTATTCAGTCTTTTGATATCCATACATCCATAAAGTTGAATATTTTTCACATCCACACTATATTCACAGCGATTAAGAAATTCCCAAATATTTGTCTTAAAGCTACCAGCAAACCTAAAACCAAAAAAAACTCAAATTTTTTCTTTTTTCACGTGTACACATTCTAGGTTATATTTATATTAGACATTATTTGAATACAGCTGATTCACATGTGTGGGATCTGTCAACGCTTGGTCACAGTCACAAAACATTTACACTCTGAAGAAGGTTTAATTCCATGCTATTCCATGACAACACGGTGACTTGTGTGGTTGTCAGCAGTCATTTTTTGAGGGTGCGACATGGTTGCCAGATTGTGCATTAATATTCCGTTTCACCCCCCTGGTCCCAGTGGAGTAAGTTCCGCCAACTGTTGAAATAACTCTACTATGCTTTATAAGACTATTCGTGGAATTTTCCCCAAAATTTAAAATTATTTCCATGACGCCGCAAAATAGCTCCGTCGGTACCTCCGGTTATACATCTTGACAGTAGGGATGTTCGATACGATCCTGTATCTAGAAGTATCAATACATTTCACGAGTATCGTCATCTTTCGATCCGGACTGTGTCAGAAAGAGTGACTAACTTCAGATTACTTTTCTTCCGCTGGATATCGATAATTTTATTTCAATATTTTTGAGTATCGATACTTCCTAAAACGATAGAAATCGATATATAACGATACTTTTCGTGGATCTAAACATCCCTAATCTTGAAAGCTTGTCATTCTTGTCAACTGGGCTGCAGGGTGCGGTGTTGCCTTTACTATCTTACATTTTCATAAAATCTTGACAAAGAAAGGCTTCAAATGAAATATTGACGAATATGAACGGATATGCATAGAATGTAGAATATAAATTCAGATTGCAAATTTCAGAATGTCTATGCATGGACTTGAACCGGATTTTTCGGTATTTTTACCAACAAGAGAATATTTACCGATAACATTCTCCAGGATTTTTCAAAATAATTTAAATATTTCTATACTTGCCGAAAAAGAGCTGAAACCAAAAATAAAGCTAAAAGTCAATTTTATGTAGTCTTCATAGTTTTATGCTCCATATCAATCATACATATGCATACACACTCAGGCAGCCGGGCACATGAGAGGGGTAGATTTGGGTTGCCTATGATTACGAACGTACATCTTCATCAGTTACCCCACTTGCCCTGACTTGATTTTTGTGCATACAAAAGGTACAGACTGGTAGATTACCGTCATTACCCCACCACCGGACAAGCAATAAACAAACCGAAACCTGCCTGTTTTCAAAAGAAATATTTAATTAAAATGAGAGGTGAGTTCAAGAGTTCACGGGTAAGACAGAAAAATATATACAATACTATAAGCAAGAATCGAAAAAGAAGTTTCCAGAATGGTTGTAAAGTACTTTGAAAGAACGACCAGTATGCACATTGTAGAAGTTGTAATTTAGAACTATGCCCTCAAAAAATATGTTGTGTGCGCGCCCAATACAATAACAGACGTCTTTTATGACTCAAAGGTCCTTGATCTACCATTGATCTTGGGACGGCATTTATAGTTTGGCAAACGGATCTGCAACATCGGGGTATCGGTGAGGGGAAAGCAAAACATGGCTGGTTTCATTCATAAAATGCCAGCGGCGTGCGGTATTTTATAAAAGTTTGGGATTATTTCATAATTGGTTTAAATTTAGTAAACTATACGTTTATATTTCACTTTAAATTTGGGGAGTATCTCAATAAGCCCACAATGATATGGAGCATTGTCCATAATAATAAATAAAGTCTCGGGTAAACTCAAAAATAGCTGTTCTCTACAATCTACACCATGTAAAAAAACACTTGAGTTTGTTTCTACACTTCAACAAACGGAAAAATGTCTACTCACTTCCCAAAATTGCCACAATTCAAAAAATCATGATAACTGCGCGATTTAAAACCTAAATCAAGCTAGCGTTTTTGTCAAAGCCGTAAATACAAATAGATACTTAACGTGGTTTTTTACCTTGAGAATATATATATATATATATATATATATATATATATATATATATATATATATATATATATATTATACATCCGTGATCTTATAATATGCTCATTTACTTTAAAAGGTGCCACAAGCCGAAACATGACCAGAATTAATTTTTATTTTATAATCCGCATCTTTCTGGATTCCTATTGTTGCAATTTTGGACTGTTGATGTGGATATTTCTAGAGCATCGGTGTCGCTTAAGTAGAAACAAAGAACTTTAAACATATTTCATATCCGTTTAACTTAATCTTAATCTCTGTAATAAATAATACTTACATTATACAGCATTTCAAAATTACATTTCACCTATTGAATTAGCATTGGTGTTCGTCAACTTCATCATTATCATCATCGTCACTGTCGTCATCAGTTTCGCTGTCGTCATCTTGCCCTATAGTTATTATAACTGGTTCCATTTCCTCCATAAATTGATCATTTTCCCAAAATTTATCTTCAATGTCCCTAGCATGTTGATAAAATTTCTGCCAATCATTAATGGATATTAAGGACATCGCTTCCTGAGTAACTTCTTTCAGTGCGGTTAAACTGAAGTTTCCAGTGGTATTGCGGCTTCTTATATGAAGTTTAAGCTTTGCCCAAGCTAATTCTATTGGGTTTAGCTCGCATAAATAAGGAGGTGTTCTTAGAGGAGTATGTCCATGTGATCTTATGATCCGATCAACTACATAATTTTGTTGGTTGTCAGGGGGCTTATGAAGTAAGACCAGATCGAACAAGTCAAATTTTTTGGCAGTTGCCTCATGATTTATGCCTATAAAATATTTTATTGTATAGTTTGATATGTACATGCATGTTTTGAGTCATACGTACCTTTCCTTGTCAACCAGGCCATTATATCTTTTTTCGAAGATGATTTTGTCGGGGTTTTATCTTCCTGGACGGAATGATATGGAGCATTGTCAAATACTATAACCGAATTAGCAGGTATATTCGGGAGGAGTTTTTCTGTGAGCCAGCGTGTGAAATTTTCCCGATTCATCTGACCGTGGTAATCGCCTGTAGCTAATCCCGCCTTAAATATCAAACAGGCATTGTCAACAAATACATTTTCTGAACCTGCATGCACTATAATGAGTCGACCTAAAATATACAAGACGATTATATAATATGTTACAAGTCAGAGTTAAATTTAACATATATATAGCATTTTTGCTTACCTGTAGAACCTATACTGCTAATTACACCAGAAACAGTTTCGCTCTGCCAGCATTTTTTGAAAGTCAAGTCATTGTCCACCCAGGTTTCGTCCAAATAAACAATATTGCGCCCTTCTTCACGATATCTACGTACTTCACGGACGTATTTGTACCTCCATTGCAATATATTAGGCCTCTCCATCAAAACTTTTCTTTTATTTTGACATTTGCGCCAACAAAAAACATTTGATTTTAATAAACTCCCGAGTGCTTCCCTAGAATAGGGGAAATTTGAGTCTTCTCGCAACTTTTGTAATAACTCCCTAGTTGTCGGGATAACTTTATATTCAAGATAAAATCTGTTTATCAAATGTCTAATAATCTGAAAATCAAAATCTTCATCTTTCTCAACAAGAGACTGACGCGGTCTTTTTTTCCGGGACTGGATAACATTTTATTCGGGTTATTTTCTAGTCTTTCTTTATCTTCGTTATGAATTTTCCTAACAGAAGATACTCCGACTCCGGTATAAAGGGACACCCTATCAAGCTTACGTTTAAGCGGCAACTTGAGGGAATTGTTTGCCGCTTCCTCATCGCAAACCCTATAAATAATCATCAGCATGTAAGCTTAGCATTTCCTTGTTTTTTATTTATATTCAGACTCAGTCGTCAAAAACTACAATTATTGTATATTATTATTACTAACCTATAAACATTCGCAATCACTTCTCTTGTTTGGCTATGAAGCGTCTTTCCGCGAGTAAATTGGTTCATTTTAAAAAAATAATACTAAAACGAATAACAATAACAAATAACAAAACACTAAACTATTCAAAAACACACAGCACTAAACATACAAACTTAATAGAACAATAAGTAGTTAACAATAATAGTTGTAAAACTCATACACGACAATCAACGGAGATAAAACCTACGCCACTGGACTTTTCAATAGTATGGATATTCTAAGAAAGGAGCAAAAAATTGTCTGGGACGCTACCCAATAGGGAGTCGAATTTGCTCATGGCGACAAAACATGTGAGGATATCCGCCAATCAGATTCGTTTAGGCGGTGTCCAATATACCTTTCGGGTGGTTGTTGCCAGCTCAACCGATGTCGATAAGATCTTTGGAAAAATGTTTACTTATAATACGATTCAGTAGTAAAAAATAGTTATTAAATACAAATAGAGCTAACAACCCATTAAAATACTCAGTATTTTGAATTATTATTTTTTGGAATTGTAAAAAATCGATTTTCAAATCATTGAAATTACTTTTATTATTATTATTGCTTTTTTGTAGTTAAATTTGGCAATATCGAATATTTTCGGTCGCATTCCTTTCGCTGTTGCAAATCCGTTTGCCAAACTTTACCTTATACCGAATTCAACGACACTATTTGCCGATTCCGTTTTTTTGCCGGTTCGGCAAAACTGCAGATGTACAGTTCACTTTCATTGAAAGCAATTGATATCCCTGACCAGTGAAACTCGTATTGGAAACAAAGCAGTGTTGCCTCAAAAAATGGCCGCGTACAAAACCATACAAGTCACCGTGTTGCCGTTGAGTAGCATAGAATTAAACCTTCTTCAGTGTACTTATATGTTTTGTGTCCCAGATGTGTTATACTAATAAAAATGAGAAAATAAAACAATGTTGAAGATATGTTTCCATAAATAGGTATTTTTGATTCTGACTTATAATATCTAAACGATGAATAATAGGTGGATGGGATACTTTTACAGATATCGATGTTTTAGGACCCTGAAATGCAGAATGTGCTGTTTGATTACATTTGGTGTGGATTTCTAGATCATAAATTGGCAAAAATTGTTTTTGATGTAACAAAAGATGATGAACCAGTTGGAATACGTTTTATATCCTTTTTTTTGCAAAATTACAAAAATCCGTACATTTCTACAGGTACGTATTTTGTACAACACCATGTACGTGGTATACAGACAAAACTAGATTGCCATGCATGAACAGTCGTCAAAAACAGTGAAAACGTCCTACTAAATATAATAGCTAGAAAATCGGCCTATCATTTTGATTGGTCCATTTACATAACTGACCGTTATGTGTGAAACTGGAAATTCTATGAAAGTTATCCTAATTCTAAAGCACAAATACATAATATTACATCTATAATGTACCCTTATTTATAAGGCAACCGTTTTTTCACGACTTTATTCAACATTTCAATAGAAATCACTGATATTCAGAGAGCTTTGACAGCTTCCGTCAAATTGCATTTCGATAAGGTCTTTTCCTATTCCAACTGACCGTAAAATATTAGTGTTAGTGAAATTGGCCCTTAATATTTTATATACCTGCGATTTTTATAAGCGGATGTTTTTGCAAAATGGTTTGAGAGTCGTCGAGAGCCGCGGGACAGTAACCGCGATCTGATCCAGATATCATAATTAAAATTAATAAAATAATCAACACCCAGAGATAATGAAAGAATTGGAGCATCAGGTATGTCCTGAAAGTATTGGCACAAAATTTGGTTTTAATTTTAGCAAATACAAAATAATATCAAGTTGCATTTGGAAACAAAAGTTTGTTTACTTACTTTACTGTCAGTTGAAATTTTTTTATATTGAAGCTTTCACTGTAACATGTATAAATTAGAAATAAGAAAAAGTATCTACAGGTTGATTGAGCCGATACCTAAAGGTGAAATCTGTCGAATATTCCAGAATGAAGACATTTCACGCAGAGCCATTTATCGAACAATAGCGGAGTGCGAGCAGGGAATACCATGTATGAATCTCCCAAAAAGTGGAAGACCATTTGCACTTACTGCACAGAGGTCAGCGAAATTGGTGAGAAGAGCAAAAAACCAGGTTGGAATGTCAACAAGGAGACTGGCTCCAATACCCTCAAGTGCAACTCCTTCATATACCAAGATGCTGTCGTCTACTGAGGCAGGCACACTTTGCCGACGGAAAAATCATTATTTTTGATAAAAAGTATTTCACTTTGAGTAATTCTGAAATGAAGGAAAACGATGGATTTTATATGGACAACGTAGAGGAATGCTCTGAAAATTAGATACAAACATAAAGCGAAACTTGAAGATAAAGTCCTTGTCTGGTGCGCAATTTCTAACAGAGGTGTATCCCAACCTCTTGTGGGAAGAGTGAGGGGTGAAGCTTTGAATAATCAGAGCTACATTGATGACTGTCCTTCCAAATTGCTTCAGTTTGTTCACGAACATCATGCTAATGACGATATCATGTTTTGGCCAGACCTAGTATCATTCCATTACTCAAGAGATACACAAAACTGGGTTCGACAACTCAACATACCTTATGTTCCCAAAAACGATAAATCTCCAAACTTGCTGCAGGCTCGCCCGATAATAAATTTTTGGACTTTGCTGTCTAGGAAGGTTTATCATGAGGCTGGAAAGCCCAAGATGAAGAATAATTGAGACAGCGAATTTACAAAAAACTGAGATACATTGATCTGAATTCCGTCCAAGACCTCATGAGAGACATTCGAGGAATGCTGCGTCTGGTAGAGCAGAATGGGCCACTACACATTCATTTGTTTCATTCATTTCTTTATTAGTTCTATTAGACCATCATAAGATGATATAGAACACGTCAGTAGAAACGATAGTGTAAAAAATATACAGAAAATAAATAAGTAGATAACACACATTAGTGTATACAGTCAAAATCAAACAAACATTGAAATATAAAACAGACAAACATTTAACTAAAAACAAACATTGTAAAAACGTGGAAGACGCAGATTAAAATATCGGTAGGTGATAATTATATAAATAAAATAAATAAAATTCAAAAACCAGAATATAAAATGAATAAGGACGGTAACTGCTTAAATTGAGATATATGGTATCACACAGTAATATAAACCATATTGTCGTTTGTCAGAGAATCTGACATGAACGTACTCATCGAAAGAGTAATATGCTTTACTTTTAAATAAAGCCTTAATTTCATATTTGAACATAGTGAGTGGCAGCACCCTGAGGGTGTTTGGCAATTTGTTCAACAACCTAGCACCCAGTTGATGTGGACTGCATTCTGTTCTAGATAATCTGTACGTGGGAACCTGTACGATAAGCGAACTTCTTGTTACATACCTGTTATTGTCGTTCAGCTTCGGAAAATCATCTAAACTAGACTTTACATGTAACAGCAGCCCGAAAGTGTATACGGATGGCAAAGTTGGTATTCCCAGCTGTTTGAAAGAAGCTCTACAGCTAGACCGCGTGCTCAGACCTTGAAGTAAACCTATACGTAGTAAATACTTGTTTCGTTTCAGTGAAAACACCTAATTCGATGGTATAGTTTAGTTAAGTATTGAGTTGTAATTTACGATAACTAGTTAGTGTTTAAATAAATTTCCTCATTAAAAAAAATCGGATAATATTTTGTGCCAAAACTTTTAGGACATACGTTACCTGTGTGTTTTTGTCGAGTTGCCTGGAGGAGCCCCTCTGTTTCTACTGCTTCTTCTTAGATCACCGCACTTGTTTTAGTGATAAATTAGAATGAATGGGTTTAACTCTTTCAGGCACAAGATTTTTCCCATTTTCTAGTCCCATGTTGCACAGAATCTAAAAGTTCGGATTTTTTAAATTATTTCAATCAGATTCAAAATAATTAATGAAAATTTGAAGATTCTTGTATATATTTTTTTAAATTAAATGTCAGTTTGGTAGATAATTGGTGGTACCACATATGTACCACCGTGCAACTTGAACTAAGGGTAGAAGGCAATTATGAAAAATAAAAAGTTTATTCAACAGAATACCAGAAGTATTTTATTAATTTATATTAGTATCTACTTTGTTTTGTGATATTCTTGAAAACAGTCTTTGGATTTGCTTAAGCATGACGGAACTTTACACACTGTACAAGACCATTCAGTACGAACTTGGTGGATCCTGGTACTACATCTGGCACATCTTCGTCTTGTAGACCTTACAGGCTGATTATCTGATGACGTGAAACGCACTTCGTCTGGTACTGCTCTTTTTATTTTCTTGAAAGGTGCTTCCGAATGTGTTTCATGATCTGCACGAATTTGGACGTATCGTTCTTCTAATAATCCATTAACAACTCTTCGGCAAAAAACTTTCAAAGGTAATTTTTTTAGACCTCTCAGCCGATAGAGAATGAATGGATTTACGACGCAGCAATCAATGAAATGGAAAAAAATTCTCATCCACCAGCTCATAAGATGATTTCATTTGGTCGAAACGGTCCACAAAGCTCATGTTACTATTGTAGTCCATCAGTACCATAGGACAAGGAACAGGGGATTTAGTACCATCCTTTTGTTTTCGTTGGACAGTGCTTCTTACGGTTGGATCATGATAATTGGTCAAAATATGGACTGCTCTTTTGTCTTTCCATTTCATTAAACTGATCCCATCAGTACTTATCGAATAATCATATTCACCTTGCTTCAGACGTTTATCTTCAATCATTTTTGGAAGGTGTTTTCTGTTCAACTGAACTGTACCACATGCATGAATCCCCCTTTCTTTGAGAATGTTCAATAACCCATACGAGGTGAAAAAGTTATCGAAGAAGAGCAAGTGATTTTTTTGTTGGAAATTCTCGGTAAGTCCAAGTATCACCTTTTTTCCTAAAGAATGTTCCACGTAGACATCGCTTTTGCCGGTATAAACATCAAAGTCATATAAATATGCATTTGCGTCAGCCAAAGTCCAGATTTTGTAGCCTCGTTCTATCGGCTTTTTCGGCATATATTGCTTCAACGTACTTCGCCCCTTGAATGTTATCATTGATTCATGGATTGCGATGTTTTTTGTACAATTATAATATTTTTTGAAATCCTCCTTAATTTTATCTATGAAGGGCCTGACTTTATATAGTTTATCGAATCCTGCATCCCCTTTTTTTGGCATTACGCTATTGTCATTGAGGTGAACGTGGCTAAGCAACCAACCGAACCTATTTACAGGCATAAACTGGGAAATGTAATTATCGTGCATGTCTTCATCGACACTCCAGTAGTCTCTATAACTAGGTAGTGGTTTGATTCCCATAAGAATATTAAGACCAAGGAAAACCTTCATTTCTTTTGTATTTGTAGGATTATATTTTTTGGTATTTTTTTGAAACTCTTGTTCAGCATACAGGTTTGTTTGAAAAACAATATCTTCTATAAGCTCGTCAGTTATAAACAGATTAAAAAAGAAGTGAGGCGAAAACAGGTGGTCTTCCTTTTGTAACAACTGAAGACATAAACCTTGATTCTCAGTAAACGGCTGAGCCGGGTTTAGTAGACGTAAATTTTGAGAAGACCATGAAACTTTGGGTGGTTGATTATATGGATTTTGTAAATATCTTGAAAGAGGGACGTCATCATCGCTGAAGTCATCATCAGTACTGATCATAATATCATTCGGCTGTATTTCACAGAAATCATTTTCGTTGTCGCACTCTTCTGAAATAATCGATTCCTGATCACTTGGAACTTTATCTATCATTTCTATTTCATCGTACAGCTCTTCTACGGTCGTATCTACCAATTGAAAGTCCAGAGGATACTTACTACTGCCGACGAAAGCCATGGCCTGAAAAAAGAAAAAGCCCTTATTGCATAGTGGTACAATTACGGACTCATTATAATTATGTATTTTTTCAAACCTAATCCCTAATTTTTATTGCACTTATGTTTTTTGCATAAATATATACATAATAAAACACAAATAGTGTACTGAATATCCCGAAATACTTACTTTTTCAATATCAAAACACCACTAAATATTTTTAATCAAAAACACGTGTTTCTTGCAACATCTAATGCGATTCACGAGTCAAGACAGAAAATATTTACGCAGTATAGGCAAAATCCGCATCCTTGTTCATTAAATATATGGTAGGGATATGTGGTACAGAAAATACGTCGCTGTGCCGAACAGCAAAATGAATTTGAAAGGTGGTTTATTTTATGTACCACCGTGCATCTTTCAGCTATTTATTTGTGGTGCGATTTATGTACCACACTGCCGAAAAGAGTTAAGACAGATTTTGGTAGACTTTACCAAATTAACAACATATGCTTTGTCTTCTCGACTTAATTTTTCTTCTTGTGCACATGTCCAGATTGTATGCGTAAGTGCCAAAAGGTTTGAGTTTCTATGGCTTGTGGAATACAAATGAGTTCACGAAATAGATCTTGCATGTACAGCGATTATCGCTGAATTTTTAAGATTCGTCATTAAAAATAATGGACTATACAATCGGGTTCATATTATTGAGGAGAAAAATATAAAAGTTATAGAGGTTGAGGATTATTTAATGTTTATTGCAAAAACATCTATTGGTCTTATTTACATTATTCCAATTCCAAATAATAGAGGGAAAATTTATAACATAAATTTTGCCTTTTTGAAAGATACCTAGTTTTCAAGGGGAATGTACACCATATTTATTTTATACATTAACTTGTTTCTATTTTGTTTTTTTCTGGTCCAATTCAGCACATTCTCCTGGAATTATTTAACAATCTCATTGTTTTGAAAATGTTTAGTTTATTCTCATTAGAATTAATAATTTCTTAGTTTTCACATAAACTGATAACAAGATGAATCATTATTTCTTATGATGTAGTGATAGAAAACTCAAAAATAAATAATTAAAACATTCTAATTTTTAAATAGTTACAAGAAAATGTTCAAACATGAACAAAAAAGAAAGAAAGAATGGAAAGAACTGATTTAAGCATAAAACCAGGTATTTCTGCAAGACTCAAAGACATGTATCTTCTAATGATGTTCTCTCTGTTATTAAAATTGGAATCATGAAAATAGGAATGATAGATTTTTTTTCATTTTTCATTTCGAATATTCTCCATAAGAACGAACATCGAACTCAGGTAGTTGCTTGAAGATAGTGATATTAACCAAGACCTTGAACCACAACGTCTGCGATGGTCACGTTCAAGGATTTAACTACGATCGGTTGGTAAAGTGGATCTGGGAAAAAACACCAGCTGACAATACATTTCCAGGTCTCCCCCGTATGAGTTGGAGGGATACCGTCAAGTCAGACCTAGCACAAAATGGACTGAAACTCTGACTTAGCAGTGATGGAAGACCGCACCAGGATTGTAGTGCCGTTTGTAAGTAAGAAAGTAATCTTCTCCATTTGGTCCCCACCGTTTACCACAACTGCAAGACGAGTAGACCGTATCTACTATAGCGCCAGTATCGACGGACCTAGCGGCCAGAGTGCGGCAATTCGAACTGGCATACAGTTTCAACGGGCAGCTTGATGTTTTCCCGTAGGTGGTAGATGGTCTCTGACTGTCGAACGCGGAGGTACCACCCGGCGGTTCTCGTAGGCGGAGCCAGAATGTGTGCATGTTGCATGCACACGTGTTCCCTCGCCAGAGTCCGTGTGGCGTCCCCCCTTTTCCCATGTATCCCCCTATAGCCCCACGGTACCCAATGGGTGCTTAGGCCTTAGGCCTTCGTGGTAGTTGGAGTATAAAAAAAAAACTTTCGTAATGGTCGATTCTGGTAAAAGATGGCAATTTATGATGTCTTATTTCGATAGACCTTATATTCTGAATAGAATAGAGTTGCTTAGCCTTCGTTGGCTATCCATTTGTCCACCGAGACCAAGCTGAAGAATTGCCAAATAGCACGATACAGCTATCCGTGGTTGGCCGTCTGTGGGAGGAAAAATAAGAGCTAGTACTGTTCTTGTCTCAAAAAACTGTTTAACTGAAATTAAAAAAAAAATGTTCGCCGTTACAATACAATGTTGGGATCAAAATTGATTTCCGGGGAACTTCGGCACTAACATCGTGGAAACATGTAGTTTCTTTTATGTAGAGCTATTAATGCAGGAAAAGAAAGTAATTCCGTCACGTCGGCCAACACAGAAAATAACAAATTTAATAAAGTTAGCGGCCTCCATTGATAGAAAACGTTGGCTAGGGAGGAGAGGCGAGTCTCATGTCGGCAATTTGGCGCATTGGCCGGCCGGTGGCAATATCCGGTATACACTCAGCTATTTAATCAGCACTCTGCGATACTGCTAGTCTGAGAGCCGGCCGCTATGAAAACCTGAAGGTAACGTATGGGATATAAGTTTTAAAAAAGTGTAACAGGTTTGATGAATGACACATCCAAATTCAATTAAAATCTTAATATCTGTAACGGACAGATGGAAGTTGCGGGCTACCATCCGCATGTTTGTTCATAAATAAAATGCTGGATTTTGACACTTTTTAATGAAAAATTGCCAGTAAGTTCAAAACAGCGACAATTATAATATAATTAGCTATACCGGGTGTCTCATTTTAATCCCCGCCACCTAAATATTTTGAATCCTACCCAACTTGTAGGGTTTTGAAAGAGCAAAATATTGGTGAACTTGGCGATGAGCTTGACCACGACCTTCAATGCATTTTTCAAGGTCAAGTGAATGTTTTCAAATGAAACCCATCTTTTCTACTTTTTACACTACAGGGCGATGAATCGCAATCGCGGAAAAATTATAAAATGAGATATTATGGTTTCTTGCTACTTCATTTCCGTCGGTCTATTCGATACTTCTGTGACTGTACCGCTCGGATTTGCATGAAATATTCACACAAGGTCATTATTATGCCATGAACAAAAAAGCTTTGTTGGTTCAGTGGCGGCGGAGCTACGGGCAATAACATGAAAATAAATAAAGATTGCTTGAACTTTCTTGTAGGAGGTCAAATTTAGGGGTTAAGCTTGTTGGAGGTGGGGAAAGGTATACGATTTTTTTTATATTAGTATATTCATACCCTATTTTATATCCTTCCGACCCTGGCTGACTAATCTATGCAACGCACAAACTATATTTACGGAATGAACGACAACTCGCTGTGGGAAGGGCCAACGGTGTCATATGGACTATGACCACCGGTAGAGCCAGGGAAAGAATACCCATGGACTAATTGTATGGGCCTGTTTGACTGACTGATCCGCTTACTCCCTCTGTTGTTTATGTTCGTAATTAAATTTCTCCTCAGACGATTTAAATTCCGCTGTAATCCTTTATGAACTGATAACGGAGTTGCGTAGGAAGTGCACAGTGGCCCTAATTGACGCTATTTCTTACACTGCAATTGGAGAGATGAGGAAATCTTACATTCAAATTTGACCTTGACCATGGCTAAGATTCAATTCAGTACATTGAAAACAGCACAGCTGTGAGGTATGTGGCGGTCATCCAGTCGTGACCTTGACCATGAGTCTGATCGTCAAGTAAACATTTTCAAAGAAGACCCCTCATCTTTATACCGGAATTGTAATGATCAGGAGAATTTGAGCTTGACCTCAAACCTAAGATGATGCCAGGCTTATATGTTATATTAAGCCTGTAAACTGCCAATACAGTAAATAAGTAAATAAACGATTCAAATAAAAGTTAGAGTTCACACCCATGTCGAGATCTTTAACTTGTCTCAAAATGTTTATTTCACTATTTTACTCCATTAGAGGTTTACACGCTTAAATATAAAATTTCTTACTGTCTACAATTTTGGCATCAAAATTATAGGGTTGCCCCATAAATTTAGGATCGATATGACTTTGAGGTCAAGTTACATTCGGACGTACAGTTTCCACATTTTTCCAATTCGGATATAAAAGTCACCGGTTTCCTTTAAAACTTTTACCAGACCTAGATTATGGTCTATGGTTGATTATGGTTTGAGGTAATACTTCACTAACTTTACAGCTGTGTGTGTTTCGGACATTTTTGTTAGAGCAAATTTCACTTAATATCTTGATTTGAGCTTGAAATGGTCTTGAAGGTCATATTCAAACGTAAATTTTCCTCCTTTTTCAATTCCAGGTTAGAAAAGGAGGTTCGGTTTTGAAATATTCCCATGACCTTGAAATTGGTGTCACGTCAGGATCATGATCAAAGGTACCATCAATTTGCCTCTACGAAAACCAACAGCCTTTACTTGAAACTTTCTAGGGTGCGTAGTTTTCAATATATTTCACCCTGTAGAGTATAAATGTTAGTAGTAAAAAGTAGTAAAAAGTGCAAAAAGCACAAGCCATCACTTAGCCTAAATACTGAGTCACCTCCTAAGATATAAATTTCACCACTGAAGAAAGATGTACCAATCATTAATAATAGCTCCGGAAACTTAACTTGGGAACTCGTTCTGAAAATCCTGAGATGCCGCCCCTGTATGCATGAATATCGGATAGACGCCTATTTTGCGGAAGTCTGCAACTACTTTTTTCTAGAAAGTTGACCTAAACATGTTATTAGGGTATTGCCACGCCTTATTTTATAAATATGAGGAAATAGTGCTGTGATTCCTCCTTCCTTTTTATAAATTAATGAATTACTTAGTAAATTACTATAAATGAAATCTAAGGATCAGTCAAAGCAAAACAGTTATCAAGTGGAGTGCAAATTTACGCCCTAGCTCAATAAAGATTCGAGTAGGGGTGGGGGGGGGGTGTTAAGAGCGCCAGTAACTCAAGACGGATTAAGCCAAAAATTCCCGAGTTTTTAGTCGGAACTTGTCTTGCTTGACCACCACATTAAGAAAAAAATCTAACAG